TTTAGAATGAATGTTCTCAGGCAACTTGTCGAACAAAGCAATGCCAGTGCTACTTTGCGAGATGGGAGTGCGATCCAGACTTGTGCAAGTCATGCAAGTGTGGTAAGAAATTTGTTGTTAATAAGTTTGTAAAGTTGTTACAATTGCGTTTTTTTGACAGTTTTGAAGAACTTTATAAATTTTATTTGGCTTGATGCGATACGATCGTAAATTACAGAGTTAGTAGTATAGTATTGCTCGCCGCAGATGGTGGGACGTGTCAGGAGCCAGTTTGGCGCGATGTAGCCTGTCCTCTACCAGTTATTGAATGGGGTCGGGGAACAAATGGCAACATTTGGTGAAAAGAGGACAGGCGTCGCTCCAACCCAGCCCACCTGACGCCCCAGCCTCCGCAGCAATGAAAACTGTGAACTCAACTTTCCATGAAGAACTAAACACAGGACCACTAGTTTAGATGACCTGTCTATGGATGGAGAGAAATGCCGTAACGTTCCACTTCAGCGAGGTCACCAAAAACTTCTCAAGGTAAAACTGACGCTCAAACAGTTGTAATCATCGCAGTCTGGTGTGGGGAGGCATGGAATGAGCGCGCCTGCGATGACATTTTCTTCCAGTAGTGACCATGTCCAAGTAAGGCTGCATTCACACTTAGCGGTAGCGTCAGCGACTGGGACAGTGTAGATATCAATCTAGCGTCTGCCAGCGTCTACTGGCGTGCACCCGAATCACTTAGCGCTTAGGAGAGGAGACGTTTGGCGCGAAAGGAGGGTACCAGCTGTCTGCTACATTCTATCGCGCCATACTCTCCTCTCCGGACGCTGGTAGACGCTGGTGCACGCTGGCACACGCTGGTAGACGCTAGATCGATACCTATACTTCCCAGGCCCTCGAGACGCTGGTGGACGCTGGTAGACGCTGGCAGACGCTAGATCGATATCTATACTTTCCCAGTCGCTGACGCTGCCGGACGCTCGAAACGCTAGTGGACGCTGCCGCAAAGTATGAACGCAGTCTAAGAGGCGACCAGTGATAGAAACCGCCACGGAAGGGGAGTGAGAAGGGTGACTTTTCGACGCCTTCCCACGACACGCTGGATTGCAGCGATATCAACTATATCTTTCAATAAGCAGAATCATGTCTTTTTCTTTGTTTAGGTTGGCATATCAGGTATCGCCGGTTGGGGGTGCTTTATTCAAGAGACGGCTGATAAGGTTAGTGCGTGTTGAAAGCTTCCCTGAGTGAATTGTACTAATTATTCTCCGAATGTGCCCTTTTCATTTTTAGGGTGATTTGATTGCGGAGTACACTGGTGAGGTTATATCGAAATGGGAGTCTGAACGACGTGGGCTAATCTACGACAAGTTCTGTACCAGTTATATTTTCGGTAAGTCTTTCTAGAACATTTTTTTCTTCACATTTCCAATGATTTTGCCGTCCCTGTGTTGTGTGTTGCTAAGCGCTTGAGCGTTTGGTAAGTAAGGACTCGAAAAATTGAACCATTGAATGAACTGGCACCGAAACCGTACTATATTCACTTGCTATTTGGGGGGGGGTGGACGGGTTTATTTCATTATTTTAACACTTATTTCTATAGGCATGAATAACGATCAGTTCATCGACGCTACTCGTGTGGGCAATCTTATCCGTTTTGCTAACCACTCCAACAACAATCCCAACTGCATGTCTGAGGTTGGTGCTATTTTGTCTAGAACTTTTTTTAGCAATTTCGAGCTTGGTTTTATGCCCGTTTTCCCCTGACTTTTTTAGATAAAAATCGTCAATGGAGAGCACCGTATCGGTGTGTATGCAAGTCGTCATATCGTATTCGGAGAAGAATTGTTGTTTGATTACAATTACGGCCAAACATGGAACAAATTCGTGCCCATTGAAAAGAGCATCAAGTAAGGATAGGTTTAGGTTTCATGTATGTGACAAGACAAAGTAATGTGCCGCGCTGGTAGGAGCAGCGGGCGCCGCCGCGCGCGACAGACGAGTTGTCGTGCCTCTCCGTTAACGTTTGAGTGTTGAAAGCGCCGATAAGTTTGATGAAGTCCGTCATGGAGTCTGATCATCGCTTGAATTCGTAAAAGTTCCGCTGCTCCGATCGGCGAACAATGCGTACGAAGTTGCCTCGCACCACCGCATGATACGCCGCGTGCGACGACGCGACAGATGACGATTCTCTTGTCTGTCTCCCCACGTTTAGTTCATTCTCTTTTGCTTGTAAATCACTCTCTGGTAAGTTGTAAATCGAAGGGATATTTGCATATGCTCTGACTATGGCGCTCGCTTAAATTCCATCTCACATCGTTTAGGGGTGGGGGCGTGTCTACGGACATATTTGGGATCGCGGTGGCAGTATCTACGGACATATTTGGGATCGCGGTGGCAGTACTACTAGGTCAGACTAGGAGTAGGTAGAAGTGTATCGATTTCTTGTGCTGTGCGAACTCTCTTTTGCATAAAGTGCCCACTTTTTTGGATACACCGTCTGCTGCTGATCTAACCAAGTCCGTTGGCGTTCTCTTCTCGCTTTGGGACACCGTCTTCATCCTTAGGCAGTGCATGCTTAGACTAATGCGTGATGAGCTTTGCGCCTCGGGTATGTGACAAGACAAATCGTAATCTGCCACAATGGGCATGGCGAGCGACACCGCGCACGCGAAAGACGAATTGTCCTGTCCTGCTCTTGTAGGGTTAAGAAAATTCGATGTCGCTCGTGTGGAGTATTGTTCCCGCTTGAATTGATAAATGTTCCGTTGCTCCAATCGGCAAACTAATGCAAATCGGGAGTTTGCAGCACTTCGCCGCACGAATGCGCGATTGCGCGACAACAGGATTGTCCTGTCTTTCATGCTCCCGCCACCACCCATAACTCTTTCAAAATTTCAGGGCGCAAGCAAACCGAGGCACTCCTGACAGTGATAGTAGTCGTGCTGCTGGATCACAAAACAAACCTGAAAAGCTGAGAAGGACGGTGCTGAAGAAATCCGTGAAAGCTGAACTAAAGACGGCTGACGACAAGAAGGAATCGACCAAGTCTCACGATGATTCGATGTCTTCCACTAAGTCGTCGAAACCGCGAGGAAGGTCGCAAAGGAAAGCAGAGGTGCGCCGTTGAGAGAACTGGAGTTTTTAGGTTATTTTTTAGGTGGCGCTACCTGTGAATTGTTTTTTGTTCCTAGATTTTCTAGCTTTTGTATGTTTTTTTCTCGATAGCACTTAGTAAGTCATCTAATCATTTTTCACTGCCAGCATTACAAATTAACGTTTTTCATTAATCCGTCGTTAGGCGACGTTAACAATACGTGTCGTATACATGTCTTTTTGCCAGTGCTGTGGCAGTTCGTGGTGTTTTCCTGGTTGATCGAATCGATAATCGATTGATCGATTAGAGGCGGACAAATAATCTTCTCCTGCCATATTTAATGAGCTGTTTCCTTGTTGTTGATATGCATCATTGAGTTGTCCATGTTAATCATTTTCTATGCAGCATGTTTTGCCTACAGTATCCCAGAAAGATAGGCGTCAAAGGGTTTTTGAGTGTTACGTGATTGCGACGTTCTCCTCGAACTTTGCGACTGCTATGATTTTTGTATGTTTTTATTGATGTAATATGGTTATTATGTTAGCGTTATGGAATTATGAGCCGATTATTTCGTCGTTACCTAGTAAGACTTGATTTGAACTTGATCATTTAATTTTTTCGCATAATGCATGCATGTGTGAGTGCTGTCTGCTTCGAGGTGGTTTCTGTCTAATTTTATATAAAAAATAAAATAAAAACAAAAAATGTTATGAAATGGTCTCCAGTGAACGAGGATTGCCTAAAAATGAGTACCGCAAAATCCCGAAGTTGCCCGAAAGATAGGAAGGTAGGAGGCGCGTTAGCTAGGGAATGGTGCTCCCGCAAGGTCAGCATCACGTTGTGTAAAATTTCTGCATACGACCCCCTCCCCCAAAGCGAGTGTACGCGCCCCCTCCGCCTCCTTCCCTTAATGAGATGACGTCAAACCGGATCCTTGAATTTTGAACGTTCGCGCACATGTAGAAATTGCGCACAAACGTTCAAAATTCAAAACGCTCTCAGCCATTGCACCGGAGCACGCTATTTTGCGATATTTTGCAAAACGGGCTCCAGAAACCAGAAACCTTCGCTTACGGCCTTTCCCGTTATTTGCCGACAGATACGTCCTCGCCCGTTGTGATTTTCTCAACGTTTACGTGCGCATGCCCCCGGTCTAACGTCGTTGATGCAAGGGCATTGGGCCACAGCCATGGCCCTGAGGGTGCTGCAAAAAAATGGTGTAAATAGAGCCTTCGGTGTTCAGGGAGAAGTTTGGCTGTATGTAAGCTCTCTTCCACAACAGAGCGATCTTCTTACTAAACTTTCAAAAAAATTCCCCTCCGAGAGAGGTGAGGGATTAAAGGAGGTAGACACCTCAACGGTCATATAGGGAAGACATGGTAGATTGGCGGTATTCGTTTCATAAGTGCAAGCGACTAAGGAATGGTATCAAATTGAAAATAGTTCAGGTCGGGGAGGAGGGGGCTCCCTATTGTTTTTTCTACGTGGGGTCCAGCCTGGATTTGGGCGTGGAAGGAGCAGAATCAGCAACAGGAATAATGCTCCCTGGCCAACTATATCCCTCTTCGAGCGATCAGGAAAGGCTCTGGGTACAGAGCACGTCGTACGTTAGCAATCACCACTGGGGGATTTACGACCCCACTGGTGATCTCCAGCTTGCGATGCTCTATCCAAGCCTTTCCACCAGTGACTTTAGATGGCAGCCACGCCCTAAGCGAACACGCCCACTGCCTTTAAGTAATCATACATCCAAGTATTGGGAGATTCTTCTACTCTTACTTTTTAAGCTCGATGTCGGGAGTTTAGTTTCTGTTCATGGCAGCTGTTGGAAATGTAGCAATCAGGTGTGCGTTGTCGTGACATGAGAATGTGAGTTTTTTTCCTTTGGTTGGGAATCTTACAACTGATGCTTACTTGTGAGAATCGATAATCGATCTGTAATTTGGCGCAAAGTGGAGCTGTAACTGGTAGAGGCAAAACGGTAACTGAAAGCATTCCAGCGCTCAAAAGTTCCTGTCTCTCATATCGTACTTGCACGACTCACAGAAGTGAATGGCATCGATTGAAACGGAACGTTTCATTTTTTGACATCACCCATTTGGTACAAAATTCTTCTGCGGGGGGGACCGTGATAAGTCACCGGTCAGTCTATAGGAATGACGGTGCTAACGTATTTGGGGGGGACCACGCGGCTCGCGGCGAGTGATGACTCATCGGCTCTTCACTAATAGGCATACTTGAAGCGCCATTCAGCGGCCAAATGGAAATAAAACAAACAAGATACACCGGGAATTTGCTAAGAAACCCCACAGAAGCTGAAAACAAGTGTTTGATTTGTCGTAGTCAACAATAACAGTAAACAACATACAGGCAGTAATCTTTTGCAGTAGAACCTTCCAGTCTACAATTTTTTCCTCACACTTTTCAGCGTTGACTATTTTAACAATTGATATATTGGGTTGGCACATAAGTACTTTCGTTTTTTTTCAACCGGAAATTTCGTTCCAAAGATGAAATGTTTTGCTAGCAAGCTTGATATCATCTGATAGGAAACTTCACGTAGTTTTAGAATATCAAAACGGCTTCGGTTGAGGGAATAATTTTTGTGGATTTTTTAGTCGTTGAAGTTGAAAGCGAAGTCGGCGAAAATTAGCACCTTCGACAACTGCCTCTATTTACGTATAGTCGAAGTGCTAAAATCGCTTAAGCTGCTCCATACATTTGGAAAAGGTCGAGCTAGAAGTTCCAGCAAGGGAATCTCACTAGGACGCTTTGGAACGAATTTCAAGAATTTTGAAGTTACCAACCTTCACCTCGCCGATATTGGGCAGCTCACGTCTGTTCCACCTGAAATTTTATGCTAATATTTGAATGTTTCGCTGATATGTTTTGCATGTTCTGATAGCAAATTTCGTGCTCTATAACACTGCTATAGAAATCTGTTCTCCAGAGGTGTTTGCTTTCTGTTAAGTTCAGGTTATCATTACGGAACGCGAAGTCGTTGAGAACTAGCGTTCCCGTTCTCCACGAATTTTATGCTAACATTTGAATGTTTCGCTAATGTGTTCTATATGTTCTGATAGCCAATTTCGTGCTCTATAACACTGCGTTGCAGTTATTTTGAAAATCCGTTTGATGAACCTTGTTTTCAGGTGGATAATATGGAATGTCAGGTCGATAAGCATCAGCACTTCAGACATCTCCTCCTTTTCGCATTCAACAGAGGTATCAGAGCTGCTGATGCTGCTCGGGAAATTCGCTAAGAGCTGTCCTAACACTAATCTGTTACTCTAAGCCTTACTCAAACCATGGCGATTCTATTGAGCTGCTCTAGGAGCTTTGAAGCTTCAGTGGACAGCGGTTGAGAGAGGAAGTCGGGAACTCTAATTCTCATCGACCTCACGTTCCGTAAAGATAACCTGAACTTAACAGAAAGTAAACAGCTCCGGAGAACTGATTTTTATGTTATGTTATAGAGCACGAAATTTGGCTATCAGAACATATAGAACACATTAGCGAAACATTCAAATGTTAGCATAAAATTCGTGGAGAACGGGAACCCTAGTTCTCAACGACTTCGCGTTCCGTAATGATAACCTGAACTTAACAGAAAGCAAACACCTCTGGAGAACAGATTTCTATAGCAGTGTTATAGAGCACGAAATTTGCTATCAGAACATGCAAAACATATCAGCGAAACATTCAAATATTAGCATAAAATTTCAGGTGGAACAGACGTGAGCTGCCCAATATCGGCGAGGTGAAGGTTGGTAACTTCAAAATTCTTGAAATTCGTTCCAAAGCGTCCTAGTGAGATTCCCTTGCTGGAACTTCTAGCTCGACCTTTTCCAAATGTATGGAGCAGCTTAAGCGATTTTAGCACTTCGACTATACGTAAATAGAGGCAGTTGTCGAAGGTGCTAATTTTCGCCGACTTCGCTTTCAACTTCAACGACTAAAAAATCCACAAAATTATTCCCTCAACCGAAGCCGTTTTGATATTCTAAAACTACGTGAAGTTTCCTATCAGATGATATCAAGCTTGCTAGCAAAACATTTCATCTTTGGAACGAAATTTCCGGTTGAAAAAAAACGAAAGTACTTATGTGCCAACCCAATAGCTAAGATGGTGTTATATCCTCGTCCTAAATATAAAATTACTTCTATTTTGCCGAGGAGGAAGCAGAAGAGTCGATGAGTCATCACTCGCCGCGAGCCGCGTGGTCCCCCCCCCCAAATACGTTAGCACCGGAATGACTGGAAGTATTGAAGGAGCATTTTGCGACAAGCCTGTCAGAAACTTGTGAGTTACCGCAGTGGTCACAGCTGTGGACATGCTGTGGGGCATCCCGCTGAAGCGGTGGGCGCTGGCACGCACATGCCGGCGCTGCAGCGCAGGGCGAAAAGCCCGAGGCGCAGGCGAAGGCGGTGAGACAATTCGGCGGCCGCGCAAGGCGCGAAACAGAGGTGCAGGGAGTTTCAGCGCCGTGGCGGCATAGGCGCCGGAACGCGCCACCCCCGCATCACCGAAACCGCAAATGGTCGGCCCAAAGAGTAAGCGCAAGAAATTCGCTGATTTGTTGTAAAACAAAAGTTTTACAAACTTGGGTTGACTTACCCCTGAAGGAAAAATTAGAAGAAATCGTTGAAAGAAGAAACAAAATAGCGTACTCATGTCAGTGAAGCCTGTTAAGCTCACCTCCTAAATACCGATGAGTTCAGGCAGCGAAGTGGCTCACTTGTGCCACTTTGCAGCTCCACAGGAGTTTACCGGTTTCGTTAAAATGAGACCTGTAAGTTGAATGAATAGCAAAGGCAACTAGCGTGCAAAATGTCCCTTCCCAAGCAGAACAGCGCCAACGAAGGTATGCATGGCTCATCGTACAAGAAAAACTCCTCTTGGAGCTGTTCGTTGCTCTACCGATCCTAAAGTGCGAATTATTCGTCGGCAAGGTGGCTACACCCTTTTCGAGTCGTAATCCATCCGTCTTTACTATTGAAAAACCAGCGCGCCACCCATTGAAACTCGCTTA